TCTTTCATTAAGGAAGCAGATCAAAAACAGTTCTTCAGTTATTTTTGTAACCTCTGTATGAGCAGAATGTTCAGTCCTTTTAAAAAACAAAATCCAAAAAAACCCAAACCACAAAAGCCAAAAACCCCCAACTTAAAGAATAAGAAGCAGCTCTTTGGAGACGTGCCCACAGTAATGATCCTCTCTTCCTCCTGTCACTTCTCCAGGCATTTTGTGTGCAACATGCAGCCAAAGAAAGAATAAAGAGTGAGCAGACAGAAAATAGCATCGTTAGCTGCAAAGAAGTGTTCTTGCAGGCTCCCAAGCTTTCTTTAGTTTCTAATAGCAACCACAAAATGTCTTCAGCTATGGCAAGCACTGTTTCACTCCTTTTGTTGGGAAATGTTTGAAGTCTGTATCTGTTTAAATAGCAACATCTTATAGTAATCAGTTAAAAGAATTTATACCTACATTTTTCAGAGATTTTCCTTAACCATTCTCCTATAGAAACAATGTTCTTAGAATTACTGAGATGAAGTTCACTTTCAGAGTTTCAAACATGTAGATGGAATCCTAAAACTGGAAAAGCAATGCATACAAATAAACTGGAGATGAAGAGACCCAGTTTTCAGTTTCACAATTCTTTAAAATTCAGAGTCAGTACACATTCACCCAACAGAAGTTAGATGTTACTTTTGGAAAGTTTGATAACCTTCTACAGAAATTACCTACTGGAACAATAGACAGGCCTAATCCTGCTGGACCTAATTATCTACATTGAAGTCCAGGGGAGTTTTACTAATGTGAGTATTGTGGAAATAAACTTTTTTGGAAAATAAAAAGTAACAGCAAAGAAGAACATATAATTCAAGCAAGGCAGGAAATGGTTTTCACATCAAAATTAAAAATCCTATATACACACACACAAAACTTGGTTAAGATACTGAAATCTCATATACTTTCCATTGGAAAATTCCCAAGCACCTCTGCAAATGGTGGAGTTGCCAAGTAGCCTCCTGCTGTGACAAGCAGGAGGTGATCTCTGGACCCGCTGCTGATGCAGTAACTGACAGACATCATCAGGAAGATGCTGTTGCAGTATCTGGGTAACGTCACATCAGCTCAATGGTTAATTTCAGGTTTATTTCGCTTCTAGAAAAATTCCTCAGTGATTTCATACTGAGACCTTGCTTTGTATGAGGAGTTAGCAACTATGGTTTCTTTCTTCTCTTATAGAGATGATTTTACTTATGACGGCAATTTTATTGTAAGGGTTTTATTTCTTTTTTACTGTGTATGAAATGGAACACTGTTCAGAAACAAAAATTATTCTTGTAATTAGTTAATAAGTATGTGTAAGCGAATAATCTTGTAAAAGCTGATTACCTCAGTTATTAATAATTAGGATTTATGAGTTAAGTATTATGCTGCAACTAGATCCAATTCCTTGGCAATTTCCTGTGTCAAGTTGAGAGATAATTTTAGAAATCATCCTGTGTGAATTTTCTTTATAATTAATGCATAAGACTGTGAAATCCTAAGTGACAACTGAATAGAATTTTCAGTTATGCCTGTGGCTTTTCCTTGTGTGCTTTGGCTGTTGGAATTTGGTGTAGCCGTTTGCAGTTTTGTCTGATTTGTGGGACATGCAGATTTGTCAATTTTAATCTAATTGTGCTTTGCTTAACTTTATTTTTAGTAGTAATTTGGTTTTCCTGGATTCTTCTGGCAGTTATTAATACATCTGAAGTTTATGTGTGTGTTCATGTGGTTGGCTGTTCCTTATGCTTTTCCATAGCTTTCCTGATTGTTTACTACCTCCTCAACAGGCTTTGTACAAAAAATAGTGTTAAAAAAATATAACCTTTATTATTTTTTTTAATTCAGTGACATATGAACTCTCTGGAGAGAACAATTACAAATTTTACCAACTTTTCTTCTAGCCCTTCTCCCTTCAGGTTTAGCCAGGAGCTTAAGTGGGTGCCCATCTTTAAATGAGCCAGTTATTTTATTGAACTTGAGTTGGTAAATTTGCACTGAGTCAGGCACATGTCGATGCTCTCTCTGAGTTACAACCCCTGTGAGGCCACCCCTGGCCCTTTCTCCTCGGATTCCGTACCCACTACCCACGTGTATGTTTGGGGGGTCGGTTAGACAGCTCCATACCCCTTCAAACTCTCCCCTACAAGCCCCCAGGTGGTCTCCAGCCCTGGGAAAGCTGGCAGGTCTCCCCTAGACAAGCATCTGCCGGCCCAGCCTGCACATCAAAGCTTTGCTATTACTCTTTTTTCAGCTAAAATCTGTGGAGAAATCAAGTTTGAGTGAAAGCAAAGTGCCCTCTCAGCCAGGCCTGAGGAAAGGTGTTCAGCCTAACAAAGCCTTGCTGCCCTCAGCTCCCAGCCATTTCCTGAAGCTCACTTAAATGTAAATGACCTGCATGTTTCATCACCAATTTGGGTGGCAGAAAACCTGAGAGTGAAGGCCAAGACTGGCAGGAATAGGTATGTGCTGCATTTCCCTTGGCACCTTGTTTTCCCATCTCCAAACCCCTGGGTTGTGGTGTCCCAGGCTGTGGAGGCAGGTCCTGAACTCCAGCATCTTCAGGTGTTTGAGGCATTTCTGTTCTGCCAATCTAGACTCGATGCATGACACACGTAGGTTTGACCTTCCATGCACTGGAGGGAAGCCTGAGAAACAGTTCTGAGATTAGTACTAGGAAAGCATTCTAAATTGTATTTTACATTCTTGTCCAATGTGACATTTAGTAGTGGAGCTAAGTAATGAGCTAAATGGCCCACATACTGTGACAAGATGGCTTTTTAAAATACAGGGATCATTCTCTTTTTCCAACAGACAAATTTTAATTGCAGAGTAGCAGTTACCGCTCCACTCTGTCCTGCTTTTATCTAAGTCACATCACGTACCGAAGCCACAGGTTAAGTTTCAACATTTTTGCAGGCACAGGTTCTTCAGGGTGATGTAATTTGTCAGAACTCCCAGCAGACAGATGGTTTATGTCCTGTTTTCTTACCCAAAAGCTGCTCTTTTTTTCCCAGCCCTGCTTTGGCAGCCGGTGGCGCAGGCCCCGCCACGCCGCACACCAACCCT